TTCACTTTGTACTGAATGCTTTTCTTGAGGCAAAGGGGCTCCTTCCCTCCTTCCTGTGCACGCTCACAGGCTGGGATGAGTTCCTCCTCCCATGTCAGTCACTGGCCAGTGTTAGGTGTGCTCAAGTGTGCCCTCCTGCCAGTCAGCGGGAAGGTCGCGCTCCTGGCTCTGGTGACTAGGAGGCAAGCAGCTCTCACTACTGCCCAGGGAAGCAAGGGAAATGCAGGGACCCTGCTAAGTTCCAGAGGGGTGTGGCTCAGGCTGATCCCACCTATCTTGTCTTCGATGCCCTAGAAAGATCACAACAGCAAGGTGGTGTCCTTGCTTTTCTGGGAATGAAAGCCTATAAACATTCCTATCTAAAGACACAGATGTCCCATGAGAGGTCACTGAGGCCTGAGAGTAGGGTGGAGGACTGGGGGGTAATTAAGCTGCTAAAGTCATGGTTATGGGACCTAGTGTGTGTGCCTAAAGAACATCCAGGCTGGAAAGTGACACCATCCAAACGGCAGTTGGGAGACTGACCGTGGCAGGCAGTCCCCAACACAGGTCTGGACTCCACTCCCTGCAGCAGAGGGTGCTGTGTGGAATAAAGAGAAAAATGCCACCAAGAGCAGTCTTTACAAAGTCGCAGGCCTGGAAATATATGATAGGTAGTCACAAGCAAATGGTCACACAGGGAGGAGATAGCTGTCCAGCAGGTATCAGCTACACTCAGCCAGCCCAGAATGGTGATGTGGGGACTTGAGAAGGCTAGTGCAGGGCATTTGATGCGGAAACGCTGCCCTGCAGCCACACAGAAGGCAAAAAGCAGCCTCACATTCTAGGCTCTCACTCCAGGTCTGAGGCTTATGGAAGCCTGAAGATTATTAGCTCAAAAAATTTTCCCCATAGTGGGGGCATAGGGAGAGAGCTCAGTGACTAAGAGTACCGGCTGCTTTTGCAGAGAACCTGGCTTCAGTTTCTAGCACCCACGTGGTGGCTCACAACTACCTGTAGTTCCCTGTTCTAGGGAACCCAACGCCCTCTTCTGGCCTCCATGGGAACTGCATGGATATGGTGTACAGACACATGCAGACAAAACACTCATACACAAAAAGTGAAAATAAACCTTTAAAAAAAATCCTCCAAGAGGCACGTCCGCCCAGACATTCACACCAACAGCAGGTAGGGCAGTGCAGAGACTCCCTCCAGCACAGCATAGTGGCCAGTCAGCCAGGGAGGGGCAGAGAGAATTGCCTGGAGCAGGTCTCTGACTCACTCCTGTCCCAGCTCAACTTCTACCCAGTCTATGGTCTCAGCCTCAGCTGGGTGCTGGGTACCCAGGCTCTGCATTCATGTCTTGGAAGAGCCTCAGAGAAGGACACTGTTGGGGCTCCCTTTGAACTCCTTGCTGGGGTCCACGTGCCAGACTTGGGCTAAAAGAGGACCCTCATGTCCATCAAGGTGCAGGTTGCAGGCCCTGTGAGGAAGGCTGGGGAGCTGGGTGCCCCTGCAAGCATGAAGCCCGCTCTGGCTTCCTTTAAATTTTTCTTTTAAAGATTTGTTCTAGTTTTATTTCTGTTGCTAAATAGTAAAATTCCATGACAAAAGAGACACTTTTTTTTTTCAAGACAGGTTTCTCTGTGTAGCCCTGGCTGTCCTGGAACTCACTATGTAAACCAGACTGGCTTCAAACTCAGGAATCTGCCTGCTTCTGCCTCCTGAGTGCTGGAACTAAAGGTGTGTGCCATCATAACCAGCTCAAACCCAAACCTAACTTTTATTAGACAATTTAGAGTCATTTCAGACTGTAGGCTGTCCAGTCCCACCATGGGGCATCTCAAGTCCCAAATGCTAAATGTACTAGTAAGGTAAAGCTCCCTCAGAACTGTGGGAAAATCAACCAACCAACCAAGACACCAGATCCCCACGCTGCTCACCCAGGGCAGAAAAGTCCTCCCTTGGCTTGGCAAACCTACCATGCTGGGATGCAGGAAGGGGCCCTGCTTATTGGTGGGCCTTTCTCTTCCCAAATTTGCACTTGAGCCTGGGGTCTGACCAACCTGCTTTTGGCTGAGGTCTGGGGAGTTCGCAACTCATTGGCAAGTACTGATAATGAAACCCTTGGAAAAGTCCAAGTGTTCGGCTGTCTAGGTAGAGCAGAAACCAAACTTCACCTGACAAGTGGAGTGATCAGAGAGTTTAAACCCAACAGGCGACATCAGTGAGGGCAGGCAGAAGCATTAATAATTGATTACATGGGCCATTCTGGGCTTTGCATTTTAATAGATTGGCAAGAGAATTTTTATTAGTCTCAAAAAGAAAAAGAAGGCATTCTCCAATTAACCACTGCAACTTGTCCAAGTACCTCCCCTCTCTGTTCTATTCTGATCTCCCTTCAGACACAGATAGGAACAGCGAGCTGCTGGGCTGTGGCCAGGATGGGTAGGGTCCCTGGGGGAGATGGTGACGGCAGCTACCACACATTGCAGTGAGTGCTCACCATTGTCATTGTTCCGGCGCAGGTGATTGATCATGAAGGGGATGGGGTCCGACGGCTGGTGGATCAGGAGCTGCTCCAGCATATTCTGTGGACACAAGCAGACAGCAGGAGATTAACACCTGCAGGGGCCCTGGTTGTCACAGAGATCACCTATTGGGACATCTGCTGGGGGTGGCTGGCAGCAGAGGCCCAAGGAAGTCCAAGCAGCCAGTGCCCCTTCCCCTCCTTGTCTCCCTTTGTGCTCCCCACCCAAGCTCCTGCACTGTTGCTCTACTGCAGGGCCTTAGTGAATGCTGGCCTTCTATATGGAGTACCTTCTACTCCTTGACCTGGCTACATGGCCATCAGATCTCAGTGCACCTAGGTCAATCCCTACCACTCTATGCTCCTGCACAGGCCTGCCTTATGTTCCTGTGCTCCCTGCCTGACCTCATCTCTGGTTCTGTGGTCCTCCCCAGCTGCACAATCACAGCAGGTGCCCAGTCCAGTGCTGATGTTAGCTGGGGGACAAAGCTATTCCTGCTGCCTGGGTCTTTCCACATTGGGACAGAATACGTGTCAGCCAAATATCTGAAGCCTTGAGTACTCTGGGCATTTAGCCCAGCCAAGCAAACACATCAGAGGAGGCAGTTGTCAGGGTGGCACACCAGGTAACTGGAGAGCTGACAGCAGCCAGACTGCAGGGCAGGTAGGAAGGGGCTTCGGCAGGGCAGTCAAAAGCACCAATGGGAAACCCTGTTCCAGCACAGCCCTAGACCTCACCAGCAAGCTCCTTCCCTTCTCGGGGCCTCAGCTCTCCTTCCTCCAGCTCCCACCCCTTGTCCAGTGGCACAGCTGGGCTCACTCTGTGATTGGATGTGTTGCCGATTGCTTCTTGGCTACTTGTTGCACAGATAGTGCATCTGAAAAATATGTGCTCCAGAGCGTGCCAAGAGTATTTCTCAGGACAAGACAAAAAGAAGCCGAGTCTGTGACAGTGAGCTGAATTCTGGGAATGGTCTTAGTGTGGGTGAACCGCAGTGGATTCCAGACATCTGATAAAATTTCACGGAGCCGTGCACAGGTGGAAGGGCACATGGTCCAGTACCCACTGCCCTTTCATGGCTTTGACAAGACCCGTGTTAGAAAGCTTCAAGGGTAGACGAGAGACAATACCATTTTTATAACTTCCCATTTGAAAATAAAATGATTTTGTTTCTCTGTTTTTTAGGAAATGCTCAAGCTCTCTCTGTGATTGGAAAACAGGCGAGGGTCATCAATGCAGCTGGTTTACTTGTGACTGGCCACTCTGCTCCCCCTCCCACTAACTCCTTCCGAAGGAAGTATGTTTGCTGGAGACTTGGGTCCCTTGGCCTGGGCTCATGTGCCACCATGGTTCTGTTTTGGGGGGCTTGAATACCTCAAATTGCAGAACAGGGTACAGGAAACTGAGCTCCAGTTTACCCTTGGCCCCCAGAATCATCGAGTGACTAAGAGCTTACCAGTCCAGCTTCTAAAAGCCTTTTGTACCCATGGGGTGCATGAGTGGAAAGCGGCCACACATAGGTGGGAACACAGTTTGGCCCAAGGCCACAGGGGGTTGGGAACTGGGACAGGCTGGGAGTCAGGATGAGGGCTGAGGGCTTTGGAAAGGCCAGTTCTGAAGAATCCACCCAGATGGGCACGTCATCTTGAACTTGGACAGCCCATGAACCTGTCCCAACAAGAATGAAGACATTCTAATGAGACAAAACACGCGTGTCTCCTCCCTTTGACTGACAGCAGAGACAATGAATGGTCACCAAGAAACTGGAATTTCCCGGAAATCTCATGATGGGGGAAGGGAAGAGAAGATTGGTGTCAGCCAGAGGAGATTCCAGAGTTCTTGTAACTTGTCAGACCAACTTACCAGAGAGAATGGAGCTGAGAAAAAGATGGGTCAGTAAGGGGTGGGACCACACTTGACCTGGCCTGCTTAATTACACGCACCCTTTCCCTCTAAATCTAAACCTCTGTCCTGATCCCAAAACTGAATCTAAGGGCAGAAGATCACCAGATTTGTATGTGTTCCTCTTCCCAATATTGGTCACATAGAACAATTATTTCTCTGTTTTGCACTGCTGTTTGTCTCCTGGGACAGGTCTATTGAAGTCAGGTGGCTGATCCTACCTTGTTAGGGCTGCCAGGACCCAGCTTAGGTAAGACTCAAGACTCCACAATTCCAGATGAGGCCCTGGGAACTACCGCGGGTCCCCGGCGGCCAGCCTGGCCCCTGAGGTCTCACTTCCCACCCTCGGGCGCCCGGTCACCCGGTCACACCTGCATCATCTGAAAGATGTGGTTGTCCTCCCCGTACTGAGGCATTTCCGGGGGGATGAGGTGCGGGGCAGTGGTCGCGTCCATGTCTCAGACTGCTTGCCGCTCCCCTAGTAACCGCGTTGCTAGGACGCCAAGCTGTGCGTCATCGGTGCGCGCCTCCGCTGGGACGAGTCCTGGTTCCCGTTCCATCCATGGAGGCCCAGATCGCAGTAGGCTCTCCCTCCCCAGGGCACAGGGGCCCTCGAAGGGCCACAGCGCAACACCCCAGGACATCCTGAGGGGCCACAGCGCAAGGACCCCAGGATGCCAGTGGGACCACAGCACCAGGATTCCAGTTGGGGTCACAGTGCAAGGACCCCAGGATGCTCCGAGGGGCCACCCTGTGAAGAATCCCAGGGTCCACAGCTCTAGAGCCCCAGGCCCTCCTGAGGGAGATCGGATCCAGAAACCTGCTTCTGGTGCAGCCGCCGTGTGGATGCTAAGAGTTTAGGGTCAACCCTGACTCTGCTCCCTGCACCCCAGTTTCCCTATCTTTAAAGTAAAGACGCTAAGCAGATGTAGGTCGGATGTCTGCAGGAGCAAAAGTCATCTGCAGCCAGGATCAGCCAGAACCTGGGCGGATCTCCTGGTTTGGGCAGCCGGACCATGTGACCTGATTGCCATGGCACCTGTGGTCACAATCGGCCAGGGCCACGGGTCTCTGAGGCCTCGACCCCGCCCACTCCCGCTTCCCGAGAACTGTTGAGGGCCTTCCCGCCCTCCGGGGCCCACACACCCACGAAGGCACTTCAAGCTTCTGGGCACTCTGTGAGGCGAAGGCCAGTCCGAGTCAAACCAGGGTAAAGGGGGCTGGGGTGCCGCCCAAGAGTGGAGTCGGGGAGTGGTGGGGGAAGAGGTGGAGGTGTTCTGGCCTAGAGGAGGAGAGCTTGCTGCTGTGGACGGGGCAAATGTAGCCAAGAGGGAGGGAGACACGACCTACAAGGACAGCCCAAAATGCAAGTGCTGGGTGTGTCCGGATGTACGCTGTGAACTGGACAAATTTGCCCTGGTCCTCAGTTTCCACCCTGAGCAGTGGGTGCAGCTCAGGCATTACTCCCACGGCTGCTCTGAAGTATTCGACAGTGATTGGCCCGTGGGAAGTGGGCCCTGCTGTCCATAGTGGTATCTCATTTAATCTTTAATCTTAATCTCACCTCAATCACTTTGGACAGCTGTAGACCCCCTCTTACAAGTTTTACTTTTATTTATGTGTATACGGGTGGGGCAGAGGAAGAGCAGAGGCTGGAAAAGGGTGTTCGAACCCAGAGCTTTAATTGCAGGCAGATCTGGGTTCTGGGAACTAAAGTCATATCCTCTGGAAGAGCAGCAAGTGAGCCCCGTGTAGGTCATCTGTTCACATGGGTCAAGAACCAAGCCTCGATTGCTTTCAGGGGCTCCTGGGACCACAACACCATGCACAGTCAAATGAAAGCCTTTCTTCTCAGAATACAGGACAGGGCAGAAGAGTTGACTGGGTGACTTTGGGCAAGTCATTTCCTCTTTCCAGATCTGTTTCCTGGCCAACTGCTGGACAGAGAGCAGATATTCCAATAGCTCGAAGAGTTTTGATCCAAATTCCTTCCTTGGGCAGAAACAGAGAGGCCTAGCAAAGGGGAAAGTCTTGCCAAGGGCCATGAGTGAAATCAGAGGCAGCCCCGAGGCTGGCAGCAGGTGTCCTGGCCTGGGATTGTGACACTTGCCCTCTATCCCTATGACTGCTTCCTCAAAGGTGTCAGGCCTTGGTAGACTTGTCAGCTGGGAAACCACCTTCTCAACAAAGAATACAAGTGCCAACCAAGCTGCAGCTTGCACTGGGGAGGTTCGGTATGCTTCCTGGACATTTCTGAAGTGGTTTTCGTTTCTCCTCATTTATTTTAAGCCCTAGGCACTTTTCATACCATGATCTAATCTTCTTTAGCAGACTGGAAAAATACAAATCAATTAAAGCCTAAACCTGTGGGGTAATCACTTTTTCCTCCCCACAGAGAGAGAAGTGTCTGCATTTAGGTCTTTTATCCACTCTAATTTGGGTGCAGAGGCTTGTGTTCAAGGGACAATCACTTTGGATAGCTTGTTACAGACCCTTTTGTGACATGCCTGACATGTGCATGTCACAAGTTTCTAGAATCAAAAGCTGAGACAGGTTTGCTCTAGGGGGCTCATGGGGCCACAGCAAGTCAGTCAGCTCTGTCTCCTTGGAGAACCCAGAAGCCCAGAGAGGGTGTCAGGGAGCTGAACACACAGGAGACAGCCCCATGAGTACTGGTCCTCATTGCTCCGGGACAGGAGTGGAAGTGAGGCCCAGAGTCTAGCTAGTAGAGGCCCTAGAAGTGGTTGGGTAACTTTTCAGATCCTCAGTAGCATCCTCCTTGTTCTCCAGTAGCCACAGTCAACCCAATGCCTGCCATCTTGTCTCTAGGGAATATAAGAGACACAGAGGAGGGTGGGTCTAATCAAAGAGCCACACTGAGAAGTCAAGCCAGGATGCGACAGATCCTGGTTTGCCCTCTTCCTAACTGTGGTTTCAATTTCATTCTCTGATCATTCTATGTGGTCACTGCGGTCCCCTGTCCTAACCTGGCCAGGGGTTGAGATGGCTCATGCCCGGGACTTCCCTAGAACACTATTGAGTGAGAGGATGTTCTCATATCATCATCAGACCAGTGTCTTGCTGATGTCTGTAGGCATCCACCCTGCAGGTGCCCCTTTGGCAGACAGCACAGCCCTGACTTTCATGTCTCCACTGTGCCACACTCTGAGCTCTGCCCTGACCTCTTCCCCTTCCAGGAGAGTTCATCCAGAGCAGGGCCTCACCTACTTTGTCTATTGCTGAGAGCCCAGCAGCAGACTGCATCCGTTACAGGGAAGGAAGGACAGTGTGGCGTCCATCTCCACCCTCTGGCTTAGATGCCTTCAGCAGTTCTGAATGTCCAGCTAAACCCGGGGTCCCTTGGCCTTGCCCTGTCTTACATCCCTGCCCCTTGGCTGAGCACACTGCCCACCTGCACTGTTCTTTTCAAGCTTAGAGCTTAGCCCCTCCCCCAAGAAGACGAGCTCCCACTTCTGGCCTCGAGTCTCTCCAGGCACTCACCACACTGTTGTAGCAGTCACCTACCTGTCAGCTGCATGCTAGATAGTCATAGTAGCCCTGAGGTCTGTTGTGCTCTGCCTTCTAGGCTCTGGGGTCCCCCACTCGTCTTACACCTGTCATCTCAGGACATGCCCACCCCAAGGCTGGGTGTCTGTTGCCATCTCCTTCTGTATGTTAGGGTGCAAGCTCAGAGATGATTGTCACCTGAGGTCAGTAGTCAGGGTGGAGCAGGATCTGAACCCAGGACTGGTGGTTGCAGAGTGGCCTTGACTATTGCCAACCACAGCACTGAGCAGCGCGGGCAGGGGATAGGCGAAAGGCACACTTTCTGTCTCTCTGACTTTCCTAGGTTACAACTTGAGTCATTTGTGAGCTCTGAGCTGGGGCAGGAGGGGACACTCATCTGAATGGACCACAAAGGGCCCTAAATCTCAACAATCAAGATAGATATATTAATGCAATGTTTTTCAAAAATTCAAAATAATGGCAAAAATCCATTTAGAATAAACTATCAACACTTAATAAAGGCAAGCTTATTATTACATATTTTTCTTTTTGCCACAGGCTCTGGTAGGGGAAAGCACAGTATTTCTCTAAAACTCTGTTATTTTATCCTTTGAACTTTTTTTTTTATATTTCTTTTCTCTCTTGAATGGGTGCTGAGTTTTTTGGCACCCGGTTCTTAAATTTTGTCTTTTTCCTTTCACCCTCAACCCTTTCCTGGTGAGTTAGAATTCTGGGGAGGGACAATGGAAAATAAGTATGCCCAAGTGAGCAATTCTGCCCTATGGGGAAGAGGCCGAGGACATGGCAGATACCCAATAAACAAGAATCTCAGCTCCATACTCACCCTGTCACTCAGGCAGAAGGCTGCAGGAAGGCGGGGAGGGAGGAAGGGGCTGCCCTGTCTCTTGGGGACTGACTTGCACCAGGCCAACCAAGGGTACAGTTAACTCCCAGCTACTGGCAGACACAGTGCATGCTCTATTAAATTGCATGAGACCCACTTGGGTTAATGTGGGACAACCCTCGGTCTCTAAAAGGCCTTCCCCCCTGCCCCCAGTCATCTCTGAACTCTCTGATTTGCAGGACAGCGTCCATAGAGGCCGTATCCTGGTCTGGTCTGTTTTTACATTCCCCTGCTGCCATTGACTTTGCCACAGAGCTGTCTTCCCAGCTCCACTCTTGTCCTCAATAGGAAGCTACCTTCCTTACTCTTGACCTTGTGTGTCTGCCCCCTCTACTAGCATCTTGGGATGGCCTTGGCTCATTTGACACAGGGTAGCATGCTGGAATCTGGGTTCTGTGTGCACTGGTGGAGGGGCAGAGAGGAGGTGTTTAGGCATCAGGAAGCCTGGGACCCAGAAGTCTATGGCACAAAGTCAATGGGACTCCCTTATCTCTAGGTCTCCATGTACCCCTGGAAGTTACTGAGGTCCCTTCCAGTTCTGACATCCCCTAAAGACTATAAGCATTTTGCCCCAAGTCAGTAAACTGTGACAGCATGGATAGGGCATCCCTGCCCTCTCCACCCATGGGGGATTCTCAGTGTTTGAGGACAGCCAGTAATCTCATCAATGATGGCCTCTGGTCTGCACTCCCTGCAGATGCCTTTCCTGATCAGATAACGCAGTTAATTAACATAAGTCAGGGGAGGAGTCTGCACCTAAACCTGCCTTGGAAACCTGCCCCAAGACCACAGTGAGAGACACAGTCACACAGAACCACCAAGTACTGACTCTCCCTGCTTAGCACACAGGAAGAATTTCCAGACTCTCAACAACTTCACAGTGGTGTGTAGCCAGAGGCTTTTATGTGTCCCACTCAGCCCCACAGCCACTTATAATCACTCAGAGGGTTACTATTAATTATAATTGTTTGGCCAATGGTTCAGGCTTATTGTTAGCAAGCTAGCTTACATTTAAGCTAACCCATTTAATTATTCTGTGTATCGCCAAGTGGCTGTCCCATTACCTCATTTTCTACACCTCTTGCTTCGTTGGCAGTTGCTGGTATCTTTCTGACTCTGCCTTCTTTCTCCCTGTATCTCTGCTTGGATTTCCCTCCTGGTTGTATTCTGCCTCGCCATAGGCCAAAGCAGCTCTATCCATCAACCAATGAAAGCAACACATGTTTGCAGTGTACAGAAGGAGGTCCCGAATCAATGGCAGGCATGTTTTTAAACTGACATGTTGCTGGTTTGGGGTCTTGCAGCATGTACCTGACTCCCAGGGTCTTCTACAGACAGTGTACATGTGTATGAGGGGTAGATCTGGAGACACTGAGGACCAGAGAAACTGTCCCTAGGTGAAGGAAGCCACAGCTCATGACACACTGTGTCCTGGAGGGGGTAAACAGACAAGGTCAGACTTGGTGCGGTGGTGGACAACTTGAAGGACCTAGGACAAGCGTGTGACTTCCAGGACCCACTTCCTTTTCTACAAAGTGGGGACACGTTCCTTTGGGAGGACGCTTCCCTCCAAAGCTGAGTGGAGATTCTGACCCCGGGGGCTTCAAGGCTGTCTTCTCCCTTGCAGTAGACCCTGCCTGCCCTGTGAGACTCCAGGACGACAATGAACGAGGTGAAAGAGACCCTCCGAAGCATCGAGCAGAAATACAAGCTCTTCCAGCAGCAACAGTTCACCTTCATTGCGGCTCTGGAGCACTGCAGGGAGAACGCTCACGACAAAATCCGGCCCATCTCCAGCATCGGACAGGTGATGCCTGGAGGGCCGGGTGCTGGTGCCGGGCGGGGTAGGGTGTGCCTCCCAGCCCAGTCCCCTCACCCAAAACACGGAGCCGTGGAGCCCTAGAGAGGAGAACTGCATGTTAGTTTCTAACCGATGGAAACAGTCCCTCGGTGACTGCCACCTACCAGATACGTAGCAGTGACGAAAATATGGGCTTAAGACTCAGCCGGGTGGGCCTTAAGTCCACCTGCCACTCTGTAACCTTGGGCGGGTGGGCATATCTCACTAACCTCAGTTTCCCCACATGAAGGCACATCTAGTGAAAACACCCCATACTAAGCACCCAAGTGTCTGGGGTCACTTGCGAGCCCTAGGCTGAGCACTGGGGATTTGTTGATGACCAGGCAGATAATGGTCCTTCTCAGGGTGGCACCTGGCCCGGCTCACTGATGGAGGCTTTGCAGGTACTTTTATTTCACCTGTTTCTTTAAAGGCGCTACTGTCCTAGTTTACTCCTGGAGGCCTTCCAGGAGGTTAGGGCTCCCACCACTGGGTAGCTAGGAACATACTCACAAGCTGGGTCCCAGAACTGAAAAAGAGGCTGCCACAAACAAGTCAAGCTTCCCTGAAGGGTGCCTGTTTAAAGGGGGCTGAGGGTCAGTGTGGTACAGGCTTGCAGTACCCAGGAGAAATGAGACTATGGAAAACAAGCAACCTTCACCAGAGGCATCCTTTAACATTCTTTTTCTAAATTTTGTAAAAAATCTGCTTTTTTACTTGAAAAAACTGTTAACCACGTGAAGAAAATGCATCGTGCAGGCTGCATCCACACTCCATACTCATCTATCTGTCATAACGGTCTTCTGGTCCATGCTCCTGCCCCGAACCATTGAAAGAACAGCTGGTTACATCCCCCCAGCAGCTCGACCTTCCAAGGGCATGGGGCAGGTTTTCAGTCTCTAATAGTGGCCCACGTCTCACTTCTGAGCACCTGCTTGATAGGGCTTCCCATCTCAGGTTCAGGAGGGGATGTCTACCCCCAAAACCCTCCCCGCACACCCAAGGAAGTCCCTCCGTTGTGGTCACACCTTGATGCCAGCAGCAACATACCTTGTACCTGGACAGGTATGTTGTCAGGAGCCTCTACCCCTTACAGGCTCGGGGAGAATTCCTTCAGATCACCAAGAAACAGGGTAGCCCCGTCTAAGCAGACAGTTTGGAATATCGGAGGAAGCAGCAGTGCCCTTTCATCACTCCATGGAGAGTAGCAGCTGACTGTGAAATGACTGAGTCTGTCACGCAGTCCTGTAGCTGAGGTAGTTCTTCCCTAGCCTAAGACCAGCTTGTCACCTTGCCTGTGCTTAGAGGCAAAGTCTCTGGGTGGCCCAAGTAACTGGCAAAGACCCATAGAGGGATTCCTACCCCTAACCAAGGAAGCCTTAGGAAGCGGATCAGAGAATTAGTATTCTCAGCATGCTACCTATGCAGCCACAGGGGGTTAAAGTTTCCTTGGTATGACCTTGTGCCACCCACACACCCACACACTGGAGATGGTCTCTGAATCCAGGTTAGGGTATCACACCACATTGTCCTCATCTGGACAGTCATTTCTGCAGTCGGGCCTGTAGCTCACTTTTTCTAACTCTAAAATGCAGTACAACCAGCCTGAAGCATTCTTGTTTCCTCCTCTGTGGTTTCAGTAAGCAGGGTGGTGGAGCCCAGGTCACTGTGTGGGGATAAAACTCACTCAAGCCACTTCTGTGGGCACCCACTCAGGTTATTTTTCATTTTTAATGAGGACTCAGAAAGGCTTAGGGGATGAGTGAGGGAGATCAGGCTTAGGGAAGCAGTTTTGCAACGGTGCTTGGTACACAACGTGAGCTGTATGTCATGAGCTGTGCTCAAATGCTTCATGTCTGGCATTAAGTCTACGATTGTGGGAGGCCTGGGGTCGTGCCCCGTCTCTCCAGCTCCAACTCCTGACACACTGGCCTCTGCAGGTGCAGAGCTACATGGAACACTACTGCAACAACTCTACGGACCGGAGAATCCTGCTCATGTTCCTGGACATCTGCTCGGAACTCAACAGGCTCTGCCAGCACTTTGAGGCCCTGCACTCTGGCACCCCTGTCACCAACAGCCTTCTCGAGAAATGCAAAACCATGGTTAGCCAAAGCAATGACTTGAGCTGCCTCAGAGCAAAGTAAGTCCCTCATGGGTGTACATGGGGCAGAGTGTGCCTGATCAAAGGACAGGAACCTCTGAGCTGGCCCTCCCCTGCTGGCACAGGTCACAGCCCCTAGTCCATGTAAGTCCTAGCCACCAACTACCTACAATGACTGACCTAATCAAATGGATCTAAACTGGGTCACAGACATAGGAGGACAAAAAATAAAAATAAAAAATGGAGGACGTGGCTACAGAAGTGGGACACCAGAGTCACATCCCCTGGGGCTCCATGGTGACCCCAAAGAAGCCAAAGCTCCCTGAATCCATTTTTGGGAGCTCTTTAGATGTGAAGTGAGAAGGGTGGGAGGTAGTTCGGATTTTACGAAGGTGATAGGAGGCTGAGAGCTCCTGCTACCTACACAAGTACCTGGGGCTCTTGGCCTTGAGCTTTGTGAATGGAGCACATAGGGAAGGAGCCTGAGATTCTGTGTGTTCAGCTCTCACGCCTCCTGGGGTGGCCTTTTGCCCATGAGGTAGGTCTCACCATCTGCTCACTATCCTGCAGGTACCCACATGACGTAGTAAACCACCTCAGCTGTGATGAGGCCAGGAACCACTACGGAGGCGTGGTCAGCCTCATCCCTATAGTCCTGGACTTAATGAAAGAGTGGATTGCTCATTCCGAGAAGCTGCCTCGCAAAGTGCTGCAGCATGTGAGTGAGATCCTGGGTAGCCAGGGAGCCGCTGCAGCAGCCGCTACCAGACCTGTCCAGACCACGGTTACCAAGCACTGGTTAGGAAAACACAAGTATAGGCAGCTTGAAAATGAGAGCCTCAAATCTAGGGGGAAAGACAAAGGCGCCCAGAAGCCTCCCTGGAAACCACCTGGTGGGAAACTGTAACTCACTGTCAACGTACTTGGCTTCCACGGGTCATCCGTTCTTACTGGGGGCCAATACACAATTGAGAATCTCTCTCTTGCTTTTCACTTCTAACATTTCCGCCTCTTGACCTCCGTGTTGATGAAAACGCTCCTTACTCATGGAGCCGCCCAAACAATATGGTGTTGGTTGGGCATGTCCCAGAGGAAGGGTGTTGTGCTGATGCCCAGGCCTCCTGCCCATGCTGTGGCCTCTGGCTCTGTAGGGGGCAGCAATTGGAGGGAGGTCCACTTCGCTCCTTGTCTTGACAAGGGCAAGATGGAGATGAGCTACAAGGTCTGTCATGAACAAGTTAGGGGGAAGGGACCAGGAGGCTGAACTCAACTGTGTTCAGTTCCCTGGACCAAAACAAGGGATGAATGCTCTTCTTAGTCAGGAGAGGGAGAGCATGGCAGACATGGCAGAACTTTTCTGTGGCTCTTGAGCAGGACAATGGCCTGGTCTCTGCAGAAGTCTAGACTGTCCACACTGTAGATGTATACTCCTGGCTTCTCAGCTGCCAGAAGTGAGCTCTGACTGTTGGTTTTTCCCTTCACAGGGGACGACTTAGCTTCTGTATTGTTGCTTCCTCGGGGGGAGACATTCAAGAATAAAGTGTTCTACCATTTCTCTGCCTGGCTTGGTTTCCTGGGATTTACCTGACCAGAAACAAAACAAAAAACAAAAACCCCTCTGTACTTGTAAGACATCGGAGGACATTGGGTGGGGGCCGCACAAGCAAAGCCCTTCTCGGACAGCCTTGGAGACCTCTGCAGCCAAGCTGAGTGCTTCCCTTCAGAGTGAGCTGCCTCTAGGAAGCTTAGGCTACAGAGGGCCAGTCTGCAGGATTCTCCAAGTGTGAATTCCTTGTCTGGCAAGAGACCTATTCAGACAACCCCTGAATTTTCCAGTCAGCCTGCCTCCTGTGGTTAAGATGGGCAGGGCAGTAATTCCATACCTGTCCTGGTTGAGGCACCGCCAGGCAGCTCACATCCTGTTTACCCCACTAAGGCCCAGGCCCAATGGCAGGGATTAGGTGGGGGAAGAATCTCAAAGTTATATAAAGGTTATCTCCCACCCCTGCACAATACCTGAGGGCAGAGGAGGCACTGGCATAGGTGATGATGATGGCTACACTGTCCTTTGGCATATCACAAACATAGCTGGCCAGGCCAGGACTAGCTTCTACTGGGTTCCATCAGGAGGACCTGAGATGAAGACTTGGGTGGCCAAGCTGTCAGAGGTGGCCCTTTCCCACACACTGCTCTTTACACAGAGGCATGGGTTTAAGGTGGCTTAATTATCTGATTCCCAGTCCAAGTTCCCCCCTGTTCCATATTACCATCCAGGGAACTACTCCAGACAGACTGCAGTGTCTCTGGGCCATCGCATTTCATCCACAAGCCCCCAAGGCCAGCATAAAGTCACTCCATCTCAACACTGCGGAGTGCAAAACAATAAATCTTTATTTGTTCACAGTTAAACACAAGCAACTGCCTTGACATTTCAGAACATTCTAAGGACAGCAAACCTTTGATTCCATTCACTGAGACTGTACCATGTTCTCCTGCAGCCTGTATTATGGCATCTGATGCGGATTGTTTGACATGCTTTTAAGGTCATAGTAGGAAAGTTTAAACCTTTTGAGAAGAGGTGACTTCCATTGAACTAAAAAGTTATTTTTTTTTAAGTCTGATTTGTTTTCATTGATGGGAACCCCTTGCCCCACCCCAACTCCAAGTTATCCCTATATGGTTCATTCATGATTGATTATAAAACTAAATTATGTCTTAGCAAAACCTGCTCCTCCATAATGCATTTTGTGGTCCAGTCTCATGAAGGGTGACCACTGAATCTTCCTAGTGCAAAAACGCTTGTCTGTCTCTGATCCCACAGAGAGCTAACAAACACCATCATGACCTCTCCTCCAATCCAACACTGTGAGGTGCGGCAGGGAGAGGGCCTGGTCTAGTGAAAGACCAGCTCCAGTGCTCAGTCAGCCTACCTATCCAGAGGTGGATAATACTGGGGCTCTGGGAAGGGCAGGGTACTTCTTGGCCCCCATTAAATTTCATTCGAAGACCAAGAGTGTTCAGGGTGCAGTTTCTATTGTGGCTGCAGCTGCTTCTCTACACCTCATTTGGAGAATCGGGGTGGCATCAAAACAGAAACATTGCTCCCCTGGGCACACCAGGGACTCAGACTGGGAAGCTGAGTGGGAACGAGGGTCACAGCAGCAGCCAGTTCCCAATTTTACCTACACAGTCTAAACCCAAGGCCATCAGTGACTCTGCAGCAAACTGGGGAGGGGGGATGGAGGCACATGCCAAAAACCTCTGGATGTACACAAGGACACAAACAGCCTCACACTGGATATATTTTCCAATGTACACAGCAGTGGACTTACAGCATGGACCTCGGGGTGAAGGCGCAACAGATGCAGATTCCATGTGTTGCAGTGCAGGCAGAGCTGGGGGTGTAGCGTCTCCTTCCCTTACTGCTCAGGAAAGCGAGCACCTTCCTATAGTACTTCTGTTTGTTCTTTAGTTCTTTCTGGCTTCAAGTGGTTGGTAGTCCCTGCTGGCTGGTCTCACCACACCAGACTGCTGCTACACACTCCTCAGTTTCTACTGTCAGCCTGGGCTCTGAGGTCTTTTCATCCTTGATCATTCAACTGCTAACATTTTCTCATTCTCCTCTGAGCACTAGAGCCCACATATGCTGCAAATGGCCCTGAGTCTGTGGCTTATCACAGTGGCTTGTAGTGCCCCTGCCACCCAGGGAGCACTGGCTACTGGTCACAGCAGCTTGGGGAGGGGAGGTTAAATTTTTTTTTAATCACATGGCTTCCAGGACTTTTCCTGGGTTTTGAGTTTGCCTTCTAAGAAGTGACTCCCTGCTAACCATGTTACACACAGTTGGAACCTTCTGCAGCTTAGTCCAGAAGACTAAACAAACTTCTCTCCTGAAAGGGTCAACAAAGCTATCAAGGTCAACATTCACCCCTGGCAGCTGTGCTGCCTGCTCCAGGAATGCCTTAGAGCCTGTCTCCTCATGTTCATGGTCATGTTGCTTTTGCTCCCAAAGCAGACTCTAAAGACTTCAGGGAGGAACGAGACAGAGATCGTGCTTAGTTCCTCCCTTGGCACTGACCTGCACCTCCACTCCAGTGGCACTGCAGCGCTGCTCCTGTCAGACTCAGACTGCAGGAGACACAGCTTCCAGTCTCCTTGGGTCCCACAGGCAACCACAGCACAACTCCCAAGTGGTTCAAGGATGGAGCTATTCAACCCCAGCATTCATACACCAGGCTGCCCATGATACCCACTGCTCCAGTGCCTTGGCCCAGGCCTCAGCTGCCTTTCAGAAGCTTTCCTCCTGACTGCAACAGCAGCAGCAGGAGGTAACCCACTGATCCCAGATGCTCTGTCACTGCTCTCTAAACAGAAGCCTCCACCCACTGAGCCTGGAGTCCTTTGAAAAGAGCCAATATTTAGGCTGGGCACCTTCAAGTCAAGATAACTTCAGGTCACAGTCCCCAAGAGACCTTAGCTGAAAAAAGGGAAACAAAAAAACAAAAACAAAACAAAAACGTCTCAACAGTCTTTTAGAACTCAAGCCACACAGGATACTCAGGTGGTACAGAACGCACAGGCTGGAGGAAAGTGCTGCAAGGCCCAAGCATGCTCTGTAGAGATGCTAGCCTAGGCCTCAGTCTGCTTTACCAAGCCACTACCTCTTCTCCCTAAACTTCAGCTCTTGAGCAGTCTATAAATTTTCTTTCTAATGTAGAGAAAAAGGCTTGTTTCTCTGGCACACACCTTGGGGGGGAGGCAACTCTTAGGAGCAGTGTCTACCATTAACTGTGTGATCTTTCTCCCAATCTGTTCATCTGCCTTTTCTACAATGGATCAGGTGGGAGGACACTGGGTTTTCAGCTTTCCTTTGGGCAGAGTTAAATGAAAAGCATGGCTGCCTCTGCTGATCTGAGAGTGGTCAGTGGCATGCCCTCCTGTGGGCTGGCTATAGCAGAGATATATCCCTAACAGGTCCCCAGCCAGCACTGCCATGGTGACAAGGAGTCTCACCTTACTTAGGGATGCTAGGATATTTACTGCCACATTTAAAAAAAGACTTTCACCCTCAGGCTGGAAACTTCACGTGCAGTAAGATTTCGTACCATTAGTTTCTTTTATCTTTGTTGTAGTTAAACTCTTCTGTCCTTATATAACAGCTAGAACAGAAATAAGAAAATCAAGCTCATGGCTCCTCCCCAAGTCTTTCCTTGCCTGGTCCAGAATATCAGGCAACAACTCTTACACTTCCAGCATTTATTTCAGGAGCATTGGCTGAGTTTGCACTCTCTGCCACCACCTTGTTCTGATTGGTCACCTCTCGAGAGCATGAGGGTGGACAGTGGTACAGGCCACCAGCCTCTACCACCTTCCCACTGAGTCACTCTGCTGTTACTAACAGAAGTGTTTGATGTGGAGCTCCAGGGGGAATCTCTCCTGCAAAGTCAAAAATTGATGTAAAAGAGCTGCTAGAACCTACTATGGTGAGGCTCCCCCAGCCCGAGAATGATGTCGCATAAACTCTACAGAAATTCTGACCCTTCCGAGCCTTGTCTGCTGCAGAATTACAAAGCAGCTGGTAATCGGGCATGTGGACAAAGGGAGGCAAATGGTTGAAAGGTGGACTGTGACTCAGCTGGACAGGGCCAGCCAGCGGCACATTTCCACATGTGTACCAGCATCCTGGGTGCCCCTCCTAGTGACCACTCCCTCAGTCTGCAGATTGCAGGATGACCACCTACACACCCACCCACAGGCAGCATGGTGCCAGCATTCAAGCAAATACCAAATAAATAAGAGGTAGTGGGGGAGAGGGATACAATTTTTCCAGAGAGTAAGCAGTATGGTCTCCACAGCGCCAACCACACTATCAAAACAACTGGTATTCTCACAGAACCTTCTAGGAAGCATTTCAGAGATGCCAAAAGAAGGCAGAGGTGAATGAACCAGTTTCTCTAGATCTGTGGCTTTAGATGCTGAACTTCAGAAACAAAAAACAGTGAAAAGGCTCCTGTAAAGACAATCAACTTACGTCCTCCTGGAAGGGACAAAACTGGACTTACCTGCAGTGCCACTAACTGCCTGGTCTACCCAAGAGCCACCCGTCTATCTGCAACTCAGGAAAGCAGAGTGGTGTGTTGGACCCAAAGATGAAAGTTGGCCTCATATTGCACAGGTTCAAAGGACACAACCATTTGGTGGGAGGAAGGAACAAAATAAAGCTACAAGGGACACACACAGGCCCTCAATTAGTACATACTGCTAGGTAAATGAAAGAGGCTGGGGTGGGGTGAAGGAAAGCATCTCAATGCCAGACCCAAAAGCCATCATCCCACATTCCGTCAGCTGTCAAAATGACCTCTGTCCCATTCCCACTGCACAAGCAGCCGCTCAGACCCTGGAAACAGAAAAGCCTAGAATGTGCATTCACACCTCCTGTTCTGTGCTGACAAAGACGTAAATTAACACTGACAGACCCCTCAGCTGTGCTCTTGGTGAGTCTCATTGTAGTCCATGATGTGGAGCTGCCCCACACTGTCCGAGTTCGGGGAAG